TCTTTGCTCTTCAACATTTGAAAGAGATTATGTGCAACCGAACTGCCCAATGCAATATGTTGTTTGATTTCTTGACTGTGGCTTCCTTGAGTGTTGATGGGTGATCTGAGCAAAATGAAGTCTTTAAGAACGTCAATCTTTTCTCTATTTATCTTGATATGGTTTTCTGATCCAGTGGTGAGGAGTTTTGTTTTCTTTATATTGAAGTATAATCCATATGGAAGACAGTGGTCTTTGATCTTCATCAGTAAGTATTTTAAGTCATCTTTGTTTTCAGCAAGCAAGCTTGCATCATCTGCATATGGCGGATTGTTAATGAGTCTTCCACCAATCCTGATACTACAGTCTTCCTCATATAATCCAGTTTCTTGGATTATGTGTTCTGCATACAGATTGAATAAGTATGGTAAAAGAATAGAACCCTAGTGCACACCTTTCCTAATTTAAAACCATTCAGTATGGTTTTGTTCTGTTTAAACAACTGCCTCTTGGTCTATGTACAGTTCCTCGTGAGCAGAATTATGTGTTCCAGAATACTCATTCTCCTCATGTTGTCCATAGCTTGTCATGACCTTTGCGTAGTCAATAAAGCACAGGTAGTCATCTTTTTTGTTATTCTCTTTTAGCCAAGGTCCATTTGATGTCAGCAATTACATCCTTCATTCCACATCCTCATCTGAATCCTGCTTGAACCTTGGCAGCTCCCTGTTAAATGTAATGTTAAAGGCTTTTAAAAATTATCTTTAGCAAAATTTTACTTGCATGTGACATTAATGATATTGTCTGATGATTTCCACATTCTGCTGAGCCACCTCTCTATGGAATGGGCACAAATACAGATCTCTTCCAGTCAGTTGGCCAGGTAAGTTGTCTTCCAAAGTTCTTGGGATAGATGACTAAGTGCTTCCAGTGCTGCATGTCTGTTGAAATTTTTCAATTTGTTGTGAACGTCTTCAATGCACCTTGTACTTCTTCCTTCAGTATCAATGGCTCCTGATCATATGTTATCTCTTGAAATAGTTGAACATTGACCATTTCATTTTGTATGATTCTTGTATATTCCATCTTCTTTTGGTGCTTTCTGTATCATTCCGTATTTTACCCATAGAATCCCTCATATTGCAAGTCAAAGCTTGAATTTTTTTCTTCAGTTCTCCCAGCTGGAGAAATGCTGAGTGTATTCTTTCCATTTGGTTGTCTAGCTCCAGGTCTTTGCACATTTCATTAGAATATATGACTTTGTCTTTTCGAGCTGCCCTTTGAAACTTTCTGTTCAGTTATTTTACCTCATTTCTTTCATTTGCTTTAGCATCTCTCTGCTGGAGAACAAGTTTCAGAGTCTCTTCTGACATTCATTTTGGTCTTTTCCTTATTTCTTGTATTAATGACCTTTTGCTTTCTTCCTGTATGATGTTCTTGATGTCATCCCACAACTCTTCTGGTCTTTAGTCTTCAGTGTCTAATGCATAAAACTTGTTCTTGAGATGGTCTCTAAATTCAGGTGAGATATGTTCAAGGTCTTATTTTGGCTCCTGTGGACTTGTCTGATTGAATTTTCTTCAGCTCCAGCCTTAACTTGCATATGAGCAATTGTTGGTCTCTTCCACATTCTGCCCTTGACCTTGTTTCGGCTGATAAGAAGCTGAAGCTTTTCCACAGTCTCTTTTCATTTGCATAATCACTGTCAACGCTACCTTGAGTAGGCAGTTCTTCCCCAATAGTATTTTGAGTGTCTTCCAACATTAGGGGCTCATTTTCTGGCATTATATCTGAGAATATTCCGGTGCTCTTCATCATGTTTCAATATCCAAAATTCTGGTGCTGACAGTGTTCCATTGTAATTCATAAGGTTTTCAATGACTAAATATTCAGAAGTAGCCTGTCTTTCCTTCTTTCTAGTCTGTCTTCAGTCTGGATCTCAGCTGACACCTGTCCACCATGGGTGTACCCTACTGGTATTTAAAATACCGATGGCATAACTTACAGCATTACAACAAAACACAAACCACCACAGTACTAAAAACTGACAGACAACTAGTGGTGTTATGTGGATAGGTACTCTAAAATTTTAGGAGGAAGGTTCACATTATTACATTTCTCCTTCAGTTGTAGATGAAAAACAAAACTAGTTTCCGTAAATTCTGACACATGAAAACCCTGTGTGTCAAAGTAGAACTGTGTTCCATATGGTTTTTTCAATGGCTGATTTTTCTGAAGATCGCCAAGTTATCTCTGGGTGGATTTGAACTACAAACGTTTTGGTTAGTAGATAAGTGCTTAACTGCCTGCACTACTCAGTAACTGGAAGCTAATAATTGCATATGGTCCATGCTTAATTCAAGGACGGGTTCTTTGAATTTTAACAAAGCATAGAAAATGAATAGGGGGCATGGCTCTCTTACAGTGTCTGATTCTCTGATTTTACAACTAGTATTTTATGAGCTGAATTCCAATCCTAGAAAGCACGAAATTAAAAATGAATTGGGTTCCTGATTATCACATCTTCCTATTCAACTGATGAATCAAACCGAGTCTAGCTGGTTAAGGGCTGCTACCAGTCTTCTCACAGAATTGTATCCTCTAAAACAGATAGTCTGAATTACAGATTCTTCCATTCACCTTCCCAACCCAGGAAGGGCAGCTTTTGCTTTCACTAACATACTTCTGTGGGTCTTAGTGAGGAGAGAGCTTAGAGCTTATGGAGAATACACAATGGAACGAACCAAGAACACTTTAATGAAGATCACCATTCATTTCGTTTCTCTACATTACCACACAGCTTGTAACTTTCATACTTCCTGTCAAGGACCAGTGTTAAATCTGGTGTTGCATTAGCCAATGAAACCAATTTTCTCACAAATCTTGTCCCATGGCAATAGTTTCTCACTTTTCCTAGAATCTTACTATCAGGCACTGGGTCACAAGAGTCTAAGTGTACACAGTAATAACCCATTTAATATTGTAAAAGTTCCTACTGTGGAATTAGTACTAGTCAAGCTAGTGAACCAAGTGGTTGTGTGATCATGCCTCGGAGACCATTAGCGCTTGCAGCATCGCTGACCAACTCACTGAAAAGCAGATTTCAGAACTCAAAGAAGCTTTTCCACTATTTGACAAGGATGGTGATGGAACTGTAACAATAAATGTAATGAGGTTTCTTGGGCAAAATCCCACAGAAGCAGAATTACAGGACATGATTAATAAAGTAGGTGCTGATGGTAACGGCACAATTGACTAGCCAGAATTTCTGACAATGATGGCGAGAAAAATGAAAGACACAGGCAGTGAAGAAGAAATTAGAGAAGCATTCTGTGTGTTTGGTAAGGATGGCAATGGCTATACTGGTGCAACAGAACTTCAGCACAAGATGACAAACCTTGGACAGTAGTTGATGAAATGATCAGGGAAGCAGATATTGATGGTGATGGTCAAATAAACTATGAAGAGTCTGTACAAATGATGGCAGCAAAGTGAAGACATTGTACAGAATGTGTTAAAGTTCTTGTACAATATTGTTTATTTCCTTTTCCTTTGTTTGTAACTTATCTGTAAAATGTTTCTCCTTCTTGTCAAAATAATATGCATGTATGGTACAGGAGCTCTGGTAGCGCAGTGGTTACGAATCGGGCTGTTAACCTCAGGGTCAGCAGTTCAAAACTACCAGCTGTTCCGTGGGAGAAAGAGGAGGTTTTCTGCTCCCATAAAGATTTACAGCCTCGGAAACCCTGTACAGGGTCTTTATAAGAGTCAGAACCAACTCCACGGCACATAACAACAACAACAACAACAACATAGTACTTAGGACTTCATCCCACCATGTCTTCTTCCTGTATCTTACTGTTGTTGTCCTGAAACCTTATTTTAGAAAAACTGATCAAGTAACACGCTGAATGTGACTTATTCTGGATATATTTAAGCCCTACTGCACATTTAAACTTGGATGGAGTTGGTCAGATGAGGGAACATCTGGATTATGGCTCTATTTAAGTAGTTTTCTTTAGGAACTGTCAACATGTTGTTGTTGAAGTGTGGAATTGTAACTGTGCATGGAATATGAACAGTCAACAATGTGTACTTAAAGTTGTACTACTATTTTTTGTACCGCTTGTCCTGTACAGGAAACGTTTTCTTTTATTGTTGCTTTTTAAACTTTGTTTAGCTACTTAAAGAAAATTTGCCTCAAATCCATTCCAAGTTGTATATTTATTTTCCAATTTTGAAAATTACTATAAAAAAAGTTCTTACTGTGGCAAAAGCTAACCCACATATCTTCTTTTCTTAACATGAAGAAAAGGTTGGATTACTCCAAAGCAATGATTTATAAATTATAACATGAAACAACAGTTTCATAAAAAAAGCTCAATCTTCTTTCACAGAAAAAAAATTTTTTTTTTTTTAATTAAAAAGAAAGCACACAGAGGTAAAAAAAAAACCAGGAACCATACCCAAAGTTGCTGAAAGAACATATTTCTCAGGAACTCATGATGAAGTCTGTATAGAACTGGGTAGTAAAATAAATGAGTCATCATATTTCACCTCTGGTTCCTGTGAACTTGACATTGTTATTGTCATCTTTAGTGCTGTCAACTCAGTTCTGACTCATAACAACCTTTAATATGGTTTCCAAATCACTGTGGGATTTGGAAACAGACAGGAAGAGAAGCTACCATTACCCACCAGTTAGAATACTGCTCACCTTTGGCTAGTAGAAGGAACAGCCTGAAAGACACTACCAGGAGAATTCACACAACAGAGAAGCATTTCTCCAGAGGAAACATATCAATGAATGGAGATCTGATAGTAAACTGCTCAAATATAAGCAGCATTCACTATGAGGGCTATTAAGGGTTCTCTTGAGAGCCAGCCCAAGACTGAAAATCAAAGGGAATACACAAGCAGGCATGTAAGCTGCTGGCGACCACATGGGGGAAAACCAGCAGTAAAGAGGTGGGCTGAGCCCAACCAAGTTACATAGACCCCCATCAACCTAGAGTATGGTGAGAGCTGGTTGGTCCAAAGTACGGTGAGACCTAGGGACTCCTGAGCCCATGGACAAAGACATGGCCACAGAGAGCTAGAGCTGAGAGTGGAGCGTCCAGCTGATATGAAGTGAGGGGATATGTACAAGGGTGCCCAAACTTGCAGATAGTGCCCATTGGACCTAGCTTCAATGGCTGGATGTTCAGAATCTGACTAGAAGAAGGGAAAGATTGGGGGTGGGGGGTGTTAAAGAAAGTGAGTGTAAATCACTACAATCTAATGAACTTGACCTATACTTACAGAAATAGTAGCTTAAAACACCAACCAAGAGGGAAAGAACCCTTATAGCAAGGATCATTCCCATCTCCTGCGTATACAGGGTTGAATGGGACAGGTTGAATTCAGACATTGGCTACCTAAAATGGGGGGACTGTAAAAGCACAAAGTGACGGGCTTACAAGTTTTCATGACGGAGTTTAGATTCAGAGTGTGTGGAGGAAGGTAGAATGCCCAGTGAGTGGTTTTCATCCTGTCTAGACAGGTCTGGTGAAAGGAGATGGGGACAAGATTCTCATGATTCAATAGCAAGTAACTGTTATCATGACTAATTGCGATTGTCACAATGGTAAATATAGAAGTTTTGTAGCAAAAAGGGTGAGTGGTCGATCATACATTCCCAGAGCAGAGGACCCTGGGACCATCAAGGGAGAAGACCAGGAGCTGAGTGTGGGACCCTACCAAGAGAAGCAGTGATGCTAGAGATGGAGGCAGAGATGATGACATGGAGAGACAGAGCAGCTGAGGACTCCAGACTCATGGAGGGAGAGGGGATGTGTGCTGGCGGCAGGGTGGCAGGTTTGCAGGGTGTGCCATTTGAATGATTATATATTCTTAAGTGCTTTGATGCACAGCCAAAAACAACAGAGAGACTAGAAGCAAATACTGTTGAATGATGGGACATGCAGGGGATTGTTGTAGTCATTGCAATAAAACGAATACAATAGGATGAGTGTAAAACTGATGTTCCCCCATGTAAACTATCACTAAATTCAAAATAATAACTTAAAAGAAAAAAAGTTATTTGGGGTGCAAGTGTATTATTTGCTTTATTATAATCCATATTATTTTACTTATAAATTATATTACTAAGAAACAGAGACCATGCTGATATTTAGCAATAGAGACAATATTGGTAGATCTTACTCTACAAACGATCAGATATATGTATACCAAGTTACGTTTAAAAATACCAAATGTTTAAAAATACTATTTATTGTTACTCAAGAAAGTCAAACAATCCCTTAACTTTCAGAATACATTCCTTGCTGTTTTCCTGACCATTATTTTATTTACACATTTGAAAAAAAAGTAATTTTATATTCTACCATGAAAAAGTCTACCATACTTGTATCACTGATAATTTCTTCACCCTCTATAAAAATACAATTTCAAATCTGGAATGTCACTTTCCATGGAACACACTTTCTATGGGAAATGCTTTCCAACTCATTCATTTTTTAAGGTGAATCCAAGATCAATTTTCTTAATTAAATCAATATAATGATGCTACAACATATTCTATAACTACTGCTCAAAGATTTGCAGAGTGACTTACATATGAAAGCATTTATACACTCACTGCAAATACATAATTTATTTGATATGAATGCATTATTAGGGCCTCCTGCTTGTGTAGCCTGTCTACACGATCATCTGAAGTCTCCTGAGGATCCATTTTTATGAGACTGCTACTAACATTCACTTCATTATTCTGATTTCTCACTTGTGAGTTTTCCGATGTATACGAAGTCCTGAATTCCAACAGAAGGATTTCCCACATTCAGAGCATTTCCACGGTTTCTCTCCCGTATGAACTCTCTGGTGTTCACTAAGGGATGACTTCTGAGTAAAGGCTTTTCCACATTCATTGCATTTAAAAGGTTTCTCGCCTGAATGAGTTTTTTGGTGTATCTGGAGTGATGCCTTCCTAGGATAAGCTTTTTCACATTCATTGCACTCATATGGCTTTGCTGTTGAGTGAGTTCTCTGATGTATAATGAGCTGTGATTTCCCACAAAATGCTCTCTCACAGAAACTGCATTCATAAGGTCTCTCACCTGTGTGCGTTCTCCTATGTATAACAAGGTATGACTTGCTGCTGAAAGCTTTCTCACATTCACTACATCCATAGGGCTTCTCTCCTGCATGAGCTCTCAGATGTGCAGTAAGTTGTTCCCTCCTACCAAAAGCTTTCCCACATTCACTGCATTGGTACGGATTATTTCCTGTGTGAATCCCCTGATGTACAACAAGCTGTGTCTTCATACTGAAGGCTTTCCCACAGTCACTGCATTGATACGGTTTCTCTCCTGTATGCATTCTGATGTGTACAAGGAGGTATGATTTACTCCTGAAGGCTTTCCCACATTCGTTACATTTATGGGGTTTCACTCCTGTATGAGTTCTCTGGTGTACAACAAATGGTGACTTCAAACTGAAAGCTTTCCCACACTCACTACATTCATAGGGTTTCACTCCTGTGTGAGTTCGCTGGTGTAAAATGAGCTGTGATTTCCAACTGTAGGCTTTCCCACACACACTGCAGCCATAGGGCTTCCCTCCTGTATGAACTTCCTGATGGACAATGAGCTGTGACCGGAAAGAGAAGACTTTTCCACATACATTGCATGTGTAGGGTTTTTCTCCTGTATGGACTCTCTGATGGGCGTTAAGATTTGACTTAGCACTGAAGGCTCTTTCACATTTAGTGCATTCATAAGGTCTCTCTCCTGTATGGACTCTGACATGTACAACGAGCTGTGATCTACAGCGGAAAGCTTTTCCACATTCACTACATACACAGTTGTTTTCTAATGTATGAATACTGGGATGCTTAAGAAAGTATGATTCTTCATATTCATGAAACTTATCAGGATTCTTCTTTACATAGTTTATGGATGAACCTGAGTTTTGTGTCCATTTTTTTCCACATGTGGTATCCTTAGCAAGTCTTTGTGCTGAAGAAACATGATTTGTACTCAAATGAAGTTCTCCCAATGCACTGCAAACATCACCTTTCTCAATACTCTGAAGCGCATCTTGGTTTTGCCAGTACCATTCCTCCCAGCCTTCTAGGAAAAAAAAAAGACATAAACAAAGAACCCAGACTTTCTGAATTGCAACATGAACCTGTTACAACATTACAGAGCTCTAGAACAGCCATGTAGTGAGTATTTTTCTTTTGGCAACAACAGGTTTCTGACACTGGTTAAAAGGTAGTACTGACCAAGTGTACTTGTACCATACCATGTAGGCCTGGGCAAAGGGAAACACATAGAACTGAATAGATTCAAAGCAAACCAAACCACACATGACCACAAATGGCTTTTGGTGTTTTAAATTGAGGCTTAAAATATTTAGCTTGCAAACAAAACAAAACAAAACAAAATATATATTTCGCTTGCATCCAGGAGCCAAGTGCCAATAATTTTACATCAGGATTTTGTTATTTACCTAAGCAGTGAATTAATAGGAGACAGAAAAATTACAGCATGACATTTAGGTAAGGTAACAATGAGATCACAAATAACAGAATGAATGTCACATGAAAATTAAGAGCAATAACCTCCCAAACAGAAGGAACAGCAAGTGCAAAGTTCCTGAGGTGGGAATATGCTTAGCATGCTTAAGAAATACAAGAGGAAAAAAGAAAGAAAGCCAGAATATCTAATACTAGTGAGTGAAGAATGTGAAGGCAAGAACCAAATTTGAGAGGGCCATGGTAAAAAGCTTTCATTTTATCGCCAGACTGCAAAACCGTTTGAACTGCAAGGTCAGTGAGTCAAGCTCACCAGCTGCTCCTCGGAAACCCTATACAGAGTCGTTATGGGTTGGAACCGACTCGACGGCACTTTACAACAACAACATTAAATGTACATTTTAATTGTAAGAAAGATCCCCTATTTCACTTTTTTTTTTTTTTAAGTGCTAATCTTACACATGGAGTCATGGTGTGGCTCTGTGGACTAATGCATCAGACTGCATAGTCATTTGAACTGCAAGGTTGGTGGTTCAAGCTCACTAGTGGCTCCTTGGAAACCCTACACATGGTCGCTATGAGTCGGAATCGACTCCACGGCACTTAACAAACAACATATGTCTTAGGTATCTAATGCTGCCATAACAGAAATACCACAGTAGATGGCTTTAACAAGCCGAAATTTATTCTCTTACAGATTAGGGGGCTAGAAGTCCAAATTCAGGGACCAGCTCTAAAAGAAGACTTTCTCTCTCTCCTGACTCCAGGGGGGATCCCTGTCTCCTTTTAACATTTGTGGGCCTGGTGTTGCCTGGATATCTCCACGTATCTTGACATCAGCCTTACCCTAAGTCTAGGAGGTTCTTAGCATATGGACCCTGGATTGAAAAGAGATACTCTGCTCCTGGCTCTACTTTCTTGGAGGAAGTAGGTCTTGCCATCTCTGCCTGAAAGATACCAGATGATGAAGACCATACCACAGGGAAACTCCCATTACGTCAGATCAGGGCAGTGACCTGATTATGGGTGTTGCATTCTGCCCAAATCCCTTACACCGTATTGGCTGATCACATCATGGGGTGATTACATCATCACAAAACTGCCACCCACTGAAACTCATGGGCTAGGGAAGATTACATGTATTTTGGGAGGACACAAATAAATTCATGACACTAGGTTTTTACCATACAGCACCTTAAAACTCTTCCAACCTCTACTCATTACTCAATTCAAAAAGCACTTTTACATCTTGAATATTTGTTAGCGCAACACCCCAGTCTTCCAGTACCAAATTTTGTCCTTGATATTTAGTGCCACTATATCGGAACATGACAAGAACAACATAACAGTGTGGTGCTGTGGGTTAGTGTGCCAGACTGCAAAGCCCTTTGAACTGCAAGGTTGGTGGTTCAAGCTCACCAGCTGCTCCTCGGAAACCCTATACAGGGTCGCTATGGATCAGACCTGACTCAACGGCACTTAACAACAACAACAACATAACAGAAATACGGAAAGTGGATAGCTGTTACAAACTAATTTATTCTCACACTTTGTTGTTATTTTTAAGTGCCATCGAGTCGATTCCGACCCATAGCGACCCTGCATAGGGAGGAGGCTAGAATTCAAGGCATTAGCTCTACGGGAAAGCTTTCTTTCTCTGTCAGTTCTAGAGGAATTTGTGGGCCCAGCATTCTCTGTAGATCTCTATGTGGTTTGACATCAGTCTTCCCCTGGGTCTAGAACGTGCTCAGGTCCAGAGGGATCCACTATGGGCAGTAGTGGGTTCCTCTCGCTCTGTTCATCTTACATTTCTGGTAAAATGAAAAGTGTGACTTCAGTAAGGGTGGGGCTTGAGTGCTGGTGGGACTTTAGTCACACCTTATTGTTAGGCTATGATTCAAGATACACACCCCACTCTAATTCAGCCTCCTTGCACAAAATGGAAGATAATTGCATCAAAACACAAAACAAGGACAACCATAAAACACTAGGAATCATGGCCCAGCTGACATATAATTGGTGTCGGGGGGAGGGTGTCACAATACAGTCCTTAACACTATGTAAAAACAAACAAGGAAGGGGCAGAGACACATTAGAAAGCACTGCAATAGTCAACCATGAAATGATATTGGTTTGGAATATGTAACTGGAGTTGAATATATTTGGACCATACATAGATATAGAACTAAAAAGATTTATTGAGGTTCTGAATCTGGGAAATGAGGAAAGGAGCAGAAATTAATAACTTTTTGTTTTCAAGCTTGAAAAATAAGGTCATGCTTACCCTGTAGAAGGGGAAATCACTGGAGAAAAAACGTTTGGAGGGGAAAAAGGTCAAGGATTTTTGTCTTGGGATATTATTATATTTAAGTTATCAGTTATACATCCAAATGGAGACAGCAAGTATGGAAGCTAGATCTAAGTTCTGTGCTCAGTGAAAGGTAGGGGTCAACAGGATATAAAAAAACAAAAAATACCATTGCCATCGAGTTGATTCAGACTCAGTAACCCTATAGAAGGTTTTAGAGACTGTAAATCTTTACAGAAGTAGACAACCTCATCTTTCTCCTGTGAAGCGGCTGCTAAGTTTGAACCACCAACTTTACCATTTGTAGTCCAACATATAAGTCTAAGCACTACAGGGTTCCTTCAACAGGATATGACGGTACTAAATGATGTGAACCTGGACAAGATATCTAAGGAACAAATCTAGATAAAGGAAACTAAAGCTAAGCCTTGAAGCTAAGTACATTTAAGGTTAGGCAAGAGGTAGAGAGAGGACTGGTAAGGTCATCTACAAGGTCCAAACAGTAACATGATAAGATAATAAATAGATAAAGCAGTTCAAGGAAAACAGCAGAAAGTCTCCATTTTGATAGTACTTTTACATTGTAAACGTAGCATTACAAGATTACTATGATTGCATATTCAGTAGTTTTTCTACTTCCTTAGTACCTTAGTACCTCTTGCTAAACATTCTCTTCCATGAGTGGTGGCAAGAGTCAGGTTGTGGTTTGGGCTTGAAAGACGAAGCCACAAAACACAAGAATGTGAGGTGAGAAGAACGCAAAGGCCACTAGGTAGAAAAGAAGAATCCTCAGGTTTAAGGACCATGTTTACACAAGACTGGGTTGTTGTTACTGTTTAACGGTATTAATCAAGAAAAAAAACACAAAAATGCCAACAAAGTAAGTGCTTGTGAGAAACCTAATCATGTAGGTCTAGTAACAACCTACATGCCCTCAAAGTGATACCAACAGATGTGGGCTGCCCAAAGCTTACCTCAGGGGTGGCAACAAAGGACAACAGAATGGAAGATTCCCTCAGAGGAGGACCAGGGGCCATACTGATCAGTGGGCAAGGAGACAATTTGAATGAGCAGAATCAGGGGCTACAAAATGGACCAACCAAGAAACTCTCACCACCATGAGCACAACAGTCTGTTAAAAGGAGATGAGGGGTTCAGTGGAGCAGTGATGACTGTTATTTCCCATCCTTCCCTTCTGCAAAGAAGAGTTTCTACTATAATGTCCCTGTTCCTTCTCCAGCACTGGGTGTGTTTAGAATTATATGTCAACTCACATTATGAAGGCTTCCTCCAAAGCATCACATCCAGTCTGACAGTCCTATATACACTCCAGGAGATGCTGAATTTGAAAGTGGATTCAGGTTCAAGATGAGAACATTCACTGTCTCCCTTTGGGGAAAGGCTATTATGTTTCATGTGAAGGGGATCATTTTTAAACACGTACAGTGGAAAGAAGGGCCAATTGTGTTGAATATCTCAAGGGGTAGAAATAATCAGACATAGTACATTCCCTACCCAAACCCATTTTCCTTCCTTCTTTGTAGGTAAGCCCTGATTTTGTGAGGTTATACATATCAGAGGAGGGTACTGCTGTTAAAGCCTCAGGGCCCATTAGGTTACGGCTCCCCAAACTCTTACTGGCTTAGGGGATGATGACATGTGAATTTTATAGAAAGCATGCTGGCAGGCTTTTGGGAGAGATTCTGGACACTGATTTTTCAGAAAGAAATGAAACTTATTCCACTGGTTCTTGTATCAGCTACACGTGATAACTGGAACTGGATCACCTAACTGGAGATGCTGAAAGGGTTTATACAGGAGAATTGTAACATTTGAGGATGACAAAATGGGGAGACAGATGGAATCTTGATTCCCAACAACACCAAGCTTATGAATTAAGTCCTTATAGAATTGCTGTAAAACAGATATTTATCATTTGTAAATATAAACTCATTATTGTTTATGTCTGGCTGAATCAAGATTTTTAAAATTAAAGCACCATGAAACAAGAATGAAATGTATGTTACTCAGGTAAGGTACACTCATAAAAATTGTTAAGCAACATCAAAGAAGATTAGAATTCACAAATATGTCTAAGAATTAGGGCTTCCCCAGGAGTAGATAATACTGTTTTATTCTGAGTGAAACTTGGAGAGACAGGAGCAATAACAACATTTTTCAAAGGATAACAGATACAGGAGCAGCATCAATAAAGAAGAATTACAGGACAGGGTTTTCAGGGTGAGTCCACCGAAACCAGAATACAGGACTAGATGTGCACCAACCACAACAAAACTGGGAAGACAGAGGAAGATGGTTATTTTTGACGTTACCACCCATTTCTGAAATAGGATGAAGGCTAAAGCGCATGGGAAGCTGTTCTGTAGGCTCAGAAACCCGCGGCTACAATGAGTAGGAAACAGGATGAAGATGTCAGCTGTGACGTTGTAACACTAGGAGAAAAAACTCTATAGTCTTGTAGAGCTTTTTGAGAAGGAGTCGCTTAACTGAGTTACAGTGCAGAGGGATGACTAACCTTAGAAAGATTACCGCTTTGGATAACTCTAAGGAAGAGACGAAACCAGGGAAATCAAAGCACTTAATCATACAGGTGGTACCAGCTGAGATGTCAGAACCCTTTCAACATAAGTGCCCAAAAAGCAAATGGTCCTAATTTCAAAGTGATCAGTTTGAGAAAGAGAAGATATGAAATGTCCCAAGAGGGTCAAGGTGGGAGAAGGAAGTATAACTGAGTAAAGTTCACGGAGTTAACAGCAAAAGGCAAAAGAGAAAACACATTAAGGACAGTGGAAGAGGTCTTCGACAGATCAAGTAACAGGGAAGAGAAAAATCTCTGAAGACTTGGATGTCTAAGAGCAGAAGTCTATGACCATGGGAAGGAAGACAGAGAAATAAAGACTCTAGGAAAAGTGAAACAACCTAGAAAGCAAAATTTGACCAAAGCTTGAAAAGCCAAGGGAGGAAAGTCCTAACATGTACATGACAATCATTTCCTGTCTGAGGCACCCAGAGGATTCATTCTGATTCAGCTCAGAGGTGCTAGGACATTTAAGAAGGGTTTCCATATACAACACTGCATCAGTTACAGTAAGAGTGGTTTTATCTGCACTTCTTCCAGTATCCTGGTCCACTCACCCACCTGAATAGTTCTGACGGGACAGTTTGCCATTTAATGTCCATGGCTCTTCTCCTTGCTCCAACTTGAAGATTAAATCAGGCTTGCTACCATGATATCCTGTTAATGGAAAACCAAAAAGGATTCAGACCAAACTGCTACAGATTTGAAGACAGGGGAAGACACAGCATCAGGAGTTGCAAAACCATACTGACAATTTGCACTCAATGAAAGATTTCAACTAAAGGATGAGGGCCATATCAGACTAAGAGCATTTGACCTCTAAAGTTCAAGTCCATAATCATTAAGCACTCCAGAGGCCATAAAACAAAAAAACAGGGACAATTTATGATTCTCAATCTGAATTAAACAGAGAAGCTGTACTCACCCACTGATACGAGGTTGTTATAGTTTTCCAATATCACATCTTGGTACAAGTACTTCTGAGCAGAATCCAGAAGCTGCCATTCTTCCCAAGTGAACTCCATAGAGATATCTTTGAATGACAATAATCCCTGTAATAATATATACTCACTCAATCTGCAGCAATTGCATTAGGGGACATGGACAACATGTGGAGAAACTGGGAAATGAGAGAAGTTCCTCCACAGACTGCCTCCTATGCCTGGTATTATTTTGTGAAAGGTTTAACAACAACAAAGAGACTCCTCTAGGTCTTGGTGATATGAAGATGAATAAAACACAGTTTTAACTTCAAGAGGCTTTCCATCTTAAAGATGAAAACAAAGCACGAAGGGGTTGTCTTACAAACTTCATGGGTGTGTTTAGTTTCAGAATGAGGGGGATGAGGGAGAATCTTCGCTGAATAGTTTGCCTCTTCCTGGTAAAAAGGGGATAGGGGATGATGGTCATAGGATTTTATGATTCAACAGTGAGTAACTGTTAGCAGGATTAATTACGATAGTCAAAACTGTAATTGTAGAAGGTGCGTAACTAAAATCAGGGAGCGGTTACTCTTTCATTTCAGGAACAGACAATCCCAGGACCATCAAGAAGGAAGAGCATGAATGGAGTGTGACATCCTATCTAGAAAAGCAGAGACAGCAGAGATCTTGCCAGAGGTGGTGGCCTGGAGACAGAGCAGCTGTGGGCGTTAGGATCATGGACTGAGTAAGGCTGTGTGCTCTGTGCCTGCGGGTAGGAGGCTGGCTTGCAGAATGTGCCCTTTGGAAATTTAAATGAATATATATTTTTTGTTTTGTATGTGCACATCAATTTTTTTATTTGTTCATTTGTGAAATATAAGATGCTAATGAGGAATCACAGGGAGGAAGTAGGGTAACTGTTTTTGCAGAGAGGGGGTTATATTCATTGAAATGAAACAAAGTGTATGATTTGTTGAATGTAAAGCTGGTGATCTTGTCTGTAAATCTTTACTCAATTTAAAATAAAAAGTAAAAAAAAAGAATATTCAGACTGCTTTAAACTTTTGATGTTCTAGTATTACTTGAATAAACATATTTGATATTAATAAAAAAGATGAAAACAAACAACTATTTATGCAACTGAAATGTGAAGTTACCACTCTTTAATATAAATATACCCTGTTTATATTTTGTACATAAATGGAAATAAGAAATGGGGAACCTGAGATTTCAATTTATAATGAAGACAATTACAAAACAAAAAGAGAGAATAGTTTAGATACAGAACTTCTAAAAGATGAGGAAGCCAACTAAAATTTCAGTATAAAGTAAACTGTTTTAAGCTGGGGAATAAATTAATAAATAACAGGATAACGGCAAAGAAAATTAATATACCAGTACATCAAAACTGAGGAAAATCAGAAAGACCATTATCCCTCATGAACATAGATGCAAAAATTTTCAACAAAATCCTAGCTAATAGAATCCAACAACATATATACATGATATATGTGTATCTGTATATTGTTGTTGTTAAGTGCTGATCCATAGCAACCCTGTATAGGGTTTCCAAGGAGCGACTGGTGAGCTTGAACCACCAACTTTGCAGTTCAAATGGCTTTGCAGTCTGGTGCATTAACCCACAGCGCCACACCAGGACTCCGTATATGTATACACACACACACACACACACACACACATATACACATAAATACTTCAGGACCAAGTGGGATTCATATCAGGTATGCAGGGAGGGTTCGATATTACAAAAACAATCAACATAATCCAACACATAAATAAAAGAAAGGGGAAAAAACCACATGAACATATCAATTGATACAGAAAAGGAATTTAACACAATCCCACAACTACTCCTGATAAAAACACTTAACTAAATAGGAATAGAAGGGAAATTTCTCAACAAAATTAAGGGTAAGATGTCAGTTTGAGGACTAAGGTGTACCTGACCCAAGCCATGGTATTCTCAATAACCTCATATGCATGTGAAAGTTGTACAGTAAATAAAGATGACTGTAGAAGAATCGATGCGTTTAAGTTATGGTGTTGGAAGAAAGTATTAAAAGTACCCTGGACTGCCAAAAAACAAACAAATTTGTGTTGGAAGAAGTACAGCCAGAATGCTCCTGAGAAGCCAGGAGAGCCAGACTTTGTGTCTCATACTTCGGACATATTCACAGGAAGCACCAGTCCTGAGAGACAGATAGCATGATTGGTAAAGTAGAGGGTCAGCAAAAAAGGGGAAGACCCCAAATAAGATAGACTGTCACAGTGGCAGCCACAATGGGCTCAAGCATATCAACGATTATGAGGTTGCTGCAGGATAGGACAATGTTTCTTTCTGTTGTGCAGAAGGTTGCTATGAGTCGGGACCACCTTGACAGCACCTAACAACAGCCAACAGACATCTCTCAATGAAGAAAAACTAAGGACATTCTCCTTCTGAACAGGAACCAGACAAGGATGCCCTTTATCACCACTCCTATTCAATACTGTGCTGAAATTTTAGCCAGAGTTGTAAGACAAGAAAGGCAAATTGAAGACATTCAAATTGGCAAAGAAGACATAAAAACTCTATTTGCAAATGACATAATGCTACACTTGTAAAATCCCAAAGACTCACCAAGAAAATTACTGGACCTCATTGAAAGATTCAGCAAAGTGGCAGGGTACATGATCAACAGATAAAAGCCAGTTGTATTCCTTTATACTAATAAAGAGAACTCTGCAAAGGATACCAGGAAAACAGTACCATATGTAATATCCACAGAAAAGATGGAATACATAGGAATAAATCTAATCAGATGAACACCTACAAAAACGGAAGAATATACCATGCTTGTTGATGGAAAGACTTAACACTGTAAAACTGTCAACACTACCCAATGCAATCTGTAGATATAATGCAATCCTACAGAGGTTCCAATGACAACTAATCACCAACTTTATGTAAAAAGAGAACCTGGAGAAGTGAACATTACTTAAAAATGAAGACCAGATTGAAAAATTCTCAACAAAATCCTAGCTAATAGAATTCAACAGCATTATCAAAATCATAATAATAATACACCATGATCAAATGGGAGTCATATCAAGGATGCAAGGATGGGTCAATAATAGAAAAACAACCAATTTCTTATCTCCTATAAATTTAAAAAAGGAAAAGAACCACATGTTCATACCAATTGACGCAGAAAAAGCAACCAACAAAGTCCAACACCCATTCTTGATAAACACTCAACAAAGTAGGAAGTGAGGGGAAATACCGCAACATAGTTAAGCACATACATACAAAACCAACAGCCAACATCACTCTATACTGAGAGAAGCTGAAAGCCTTCCCTTTGTGAACAGGAACCAGACAACGATGCCTGTTATCACCACTCCTATTCAAACTGTGAATC